CTGGTAGCCCTTAACAAAGTGACCTTTGAGAGATTAATGAACTATAAACAATAAAAAATATCTCTACGAGACCTTGGTTTGAAAAGGTGATTGCGACCACTTATAAACAGTGTCTAAAATTTTTAAAAAATAGAGGTGACTACTTTATAGAGGTTATTTCTGCAGCAGTAATGCAGTGCCGGATTTAGACCTTGAGGTAATGGGTGGGGGCCGGTCTCCAAAAAAAATATTTCGGCCCTTCGGGCCTCAGTTTGGTCTAAACATAAGGAGGGGTGGGCCCCCCCAGGCCCCTCCCCTGAATCCGCCACTGTAATGAAACCGTTTCTGGGACTTTGGCAGCAAGTGACCCCTCGATGGATGGTGATCATGGTTAATAGAGGTTGGCTTAGAACACGGTTGACTGTATAAGGAATAATGTAACTGAATTTCTCATTTTTCTTGTAGCACATCAAGGAGGATCAGTCGAATGTGCATTACATTGTGACGGGTAACGGTAACTTTTACAATTCGTACATGCTTCACAAAAGAATGCTTGGCAATTCACTCAAGTAAGTCTTGCGCCGATGAGATCTAAATTAAATTATATTTCCATCGCTATGGGTTTGTTATCGGTCAAACATGCTGACATAAGCGCCAAGTAGTGAACAAATAACAATAAACGTATTCTCTCATACTTAGAGAGAATACGTTAAGGAAACATGGCGAGACGTGAACAAATTGTATTGACAAGGGGGAATAGGTACAAGCAGTCGGGACCAGGATTTCTGGGATTGTTTGGGTGGACATTACAAGCAGTAACTGACGAAAAAATTTAAGGTCTTAAGGTTTTAAGTTTTTATTAATAGTGAAGCGTCCCTTTAACAAAGTGCATGAGCAACATAATTTGATCGAAGATCGATCGTTCACTCTAAAGACTTCCTAATGTCTCTTTATTCTACGGATAAAAAATGCCTGAATAAAGAGTAATACTTTTTTTTGCATTTGTAGATTTTTCCATGGTAATTCGGGAGCTTTCACTTTGTTTGAAGCGACGCCAGAAGTTCTCATAGTTTTTCAGATCGACGAGTACGGAAATGAAGTATACAATACCCACTTACAGCCAAGAACAACAATACAATCATTAAATGATGCAGAGGATGTTTTGCTTGATGATTTTTTTACTTCGCAGTCTTGACGTCTTGAGCAGAATAAATAGATGATGCCCATGTAAATATATGTTGCTTAAATTTCAAGGTTTATTCGAATGCATAGACGACACTTCAATAAAATATGTGTAAATATTTCGCAGAAGTAAGCTGAAGCGATCTTATCAATCTCCTTTGTGTAAGGTGCGGCTTGATTATGGGGGAAACCGGGTTATAACTGGGTTTTTATGTGCAGTTGGCTGTCAATAAGTAGAAAAAAATATTCCAAATAAATTACTTAGCCTCCCACGCAGACCCTCTTATAGCTTGCGTAGCAAGTGCGGCTATTAGGACGAAGGGAGTAATTTCGAGGACGCGCGAATGGAAGTGTGCCCCTCGCGTACCCTGAGCTCCTAGCAACTGAACAGGAACGTCGCTTGACGGCGGCGCGCACATCGAACAACTGGCTTGACCAATAGCAGAGCGGAAAATCGGGCACCTAAAGTGGCGTTCAGTCCTTTCCGCGCGCTTTCCCGTCGTCAACTGACATTCCCTTTCTTTGCTAAATCAGCCTTAAACCAAAAAAAAAATAACCAGCGCCTGTGACGCAGATCACCGTTCTTAGGGTTTCATTATGAGAGTCTCAACAGGGTGATAGCTTTGACGGTTGACGGTTAATTCTCTCCGATTTTGACGGTTGACTGTTATTAAGTGGAAAATTAGTCCAAGAGTTTTAGTAAATATTAACTTCTGAATAAAGTTATATTAACTGTTGTGTTTTGGAGGTTGTCTTGGCCTTTCACTTATAAAATTTCGAAATAATTTCAGATATAAGCAATTTCTAAGGTCTTGTAAAGTCTAGCAGAGGTGTTTTTGAGAACATGGGAACTGGTTTTCCAGTTTAGAGCTGGATTCTTCAGGAGCCAGAAGTCCATGATGATCAGCTGAAATACTAAAAAAAGTAAGACTGAAATGACTTCAAATTTTTGGACAATTAATATCAATCTTCATTTTTGACGGTTGACGGTAAAAAGTAACCTTTTTTGACGGCTGGCGGTTAACCCTATTGAGACCCTCCATCGATGCTGGCGTTCCCAGACTTCCCATGGATTGACACGGTAGGGAGTTAAACATCAGATCCAATCCATCGCCCGGCCCCATGTATGGTAATCCGAGAAATTTTTGCTCGTCGATCGGAAATGCCGGGCTTTGGGGCTTAATCCAGTTCTTGGAATCCGGAATTCAAGTTCCACTGAGAAAAAATCCGGAATCAAGAAAACCTGGAAATCCGTAATCCACGGTCGGAATCCCAGACTGTCTTGGATTACCTTTAAGGGATGGGCGAAATCCAGCTTATTATTAGAGCGGGAATCGAACCACGGACTTTCGGAGGGACTGTCCACTCGGCCCCACTGTCTCTTTGTCACCGGGAAAGTCTTACAGTTTTCCGAAACAGGAAGTATTGAGGATTTATAAATACCGCACTGTCTGTTCCTTCCAAACGAGATAGACTATAGACTAAGAATCTAGAAGCGGAAGCTCACATTGTCAAAGAAATGTTTAATCTGTTCCCTCGATGGAGATGAAGGATCAGGAGTTGGGACAGCTAAGAATGATGGTCGACGATCGTCATGGCAACAGTCAAGTGACAGATGGAGGGAGGGGTTAGTCAGCAATGCTCCAGCAACATTTGCCGCCAGAGGAGTTTCCAGGATTGGAAGAACTGATATTGATGGCCCGCCGCGATCATTTTGCACATGGCATACAACTGACAGTTCCATACGTGACGGAGGGGAACGCGCCGTCAGGGTGTTAGTTGTTTGAACCTGGGGTACAACAGGAGCTCTTCCGAAAAATTTCAGGAAAGCACGCTTGAACTCGTTCGATCTGACCATGTAAATAATTGGGTTAAGCGCGCTCTGCACCACTATCAGAAGTACAACAGTGTCTCGGAGTACCACAGGGATTCGACTCATGCCGATTTTGACTGAGACTACCAAGGAGACGAATCCCGGAAGATAGCAAAGAGCAAACAAACCAAGGACCATAACTGTGGAGATAACCGGTTAAAAACTGCTTAAAAAGTTGAAGGTTTGTTTGTAGTGGAGAGTGCACTTAGCTCATCCAGCTAGTTTACAGGAAAAGCAACCAAATAGAAACATAACAAGGGTAAAAACCTAACTGGCAGGAGACAAACATGCCTGTTGGCTATTTATGAGCGTGGCCGAGGTTTTGAACTCCGGACAACCGATCGAGAAAAGCAAGTGGCCAGAGCTGGATTCGAAACCGGGACCGCCTGATTGCGAGTCACTGTCACAATGCCCACTCTTACTGATATATTTATTTATACTATATTGTTTAATCTCCTAGCCTGGTGGCTGTAATAAGGCGAGGGAGGGGAGGGAGGGGCACTGGAAGCAAAGCCCCCAAACCCCTTGCACCCCAAGCGGGACTAGCATGCAATTGACAAAAATTCAAGTAGGGTAGATATCATACCTATGGTTTTCATCCATTTCATCTCTTTTCTTTTCCTCCTCCTCAACTCAGCCGTTTCGGGATTCAAGTTTTCTCCGGGTTCCAGTCGGTGGCTCTGGGACCAGGAGATCTTTGCGATGCGACTGTAGACAAACAACATCATGACGAAAGGGATCAAGACGAAAAGAGAGGTGTTGAAGACAAGATGGACTCCGTGAAAGAGTGAAGGCTCATGATCGTCACTGGTGCGGTCCGAACCGGCACATCCCAGTAAGCTTGACCTGAATGACGCACGGCCAGCCTTCTGATATACCATGGGAACCATCAGTAGAGATAGCGTTGGAGCACACCAGCACACTATCAGGGTCCATTTGATAAGTCGATTGGTCATGATTGTCATGTACCGAAGCGGATAAACAACGGCAACATAGCGATCGCAGCTGAGAAAGCAAATATGAAGAATACTTATGTACGTTAGTGCTCCCAGCAAAACTAAGAACCATTGGCAAACTTGAGACGCTGCTTTCAAGTCGTATAACCAGATTAAACGGAAGACGAGGAAGGATGACATGAAGAGGTCTGAGACCGCTAGGCTGGCAAGGATAGAGGAGCTAGGCCTAAGTTTGAGGGAGCGCACATGAGCAACAGCCAGGCAAACGCAGACGTTCCCCAACACGTTTGCAACGAATGTTGGACATAAAACAATAGTTTGTAAAGTCTTGGAAAGTGTACTCGGAGAAGACGTGGAGAAACTGGCATTGAAAAAGCTCCCCATGTCGTGTCAGTGGAATATCAAAAATCGATGACTTATGGAAATCTTACGTAATCTTGGTGGTCGGCCATAAAGAGTACACTTTCTTTAGTGCAAAACAACTTTTCTCATTTATTACGTATATTCAACAGGCCTAAGTTCATTTCCCTGTTATTGTGCAAACTACATCCGTGCTTAAATGATCACATTTACATATTTCCGCTTGTTTCAAAATTAGAATTGCCGACTAGTACTTCAAAAAGTATTCGGGATTTTGTCGTCAAGAAAACAATGTTGGTAAGAAAAATCAACTAGTTTAGCAACAACTGCAACTCATAACTGATGAACAAGAGGGAGAGGGGGTCATCAGGGCTTTGTTAATTGTCTCGGTTCCAACATACACGAAGTTGTCAGAAAGGCGAGTATCAAGACTAAATAAGGTTGATGATCGATAGAAGGGCTCGCCTGGCGTTATCATTGTCAACAAAGTTGACGCCTCAATAATAGATATTCGGACCTTATCGAACTTTTCGCAAAAGTCCTAAGCCTGATTGTTTTTCTTTTTTTGTATCTCGTAAAACGTGATTTAAGTTTTAATTTATTCGTGATTCGTGATTGCCCATCCCAAGACAATTATTTCGTGCTGAACGTGAAAGCGTTTTTGGACTTTAACGTGACGCGTGAAGGAAGACTTGATTTATAAACGTAATTCGTGAACTGCAAAGGTTTGGGTAAACTGATTTTTGTTTTTTTGTAATTTGGCTCGATTTTATGCCTGTTATATTTTTGAAGTTGAGATTGGAAAGTTAACAGTCTTTAATCAGTGAATTTCTTTTGCAATTTCCCCTGAAACGTGAATAACTAGTTGTTAGGTGAACGTGAAGACACTTTAGCAATGTTTAGGTTTAACTTGAAAGGATTTTAAAAGGGGAACAGGGTACCCCCTTATTTTTTAATTTATATTTATGAACGTTAAATAATTATGGTGGTGGATTCCTACAAACTACTTCAATTGCGGGCGGCAAGGATTCTGTTTTGATAATAAATCAGTCGTTTCAGTAAATCGGTCTCTTCTGAGTGGGCGCCCTTATGTCTTTTTTTTTCCTTGAATATAAACATGATATAAACGTCGGTGTAAAATTACTAAACAAATTGATAATTAGATAAGTTATTTGGCAACTCATGAAAGAGAAGTGAAATGTAAAATATTTAACCAGGAATATAATCCTTGCTTTCAATAATTCTGGAAGAAATTCATCCGATATTCAGCTAGTCGTTGGTTGAAAAATCGAATCGAAGTGCATTAGAGGTTTTCTTTTGAAATCCACTGCAAGGCATCTGCATATCGAAAAAAACACCCTTCCGGATATTTGGTTTACCTTTTAGAACTACTAAAAATTCAAGTCTTGAGTGAATTCAACGCGAAAATGCATACACCTTTATGATTAAGCTCTGAATTTAATCTAAATGATTAATCTATATCAAATGGTTATCGCATAAAGGGGATGACCCATCACTATGGATTTGAGAAGCAGAAAAAAATTAATTGCCAGACACATGGCTAGTTCCAAAAATGTTAAACGAATCTGACTATCCAAATCACTCGACGTTCTACTTGAGGTTTCCATTCACTTGCCTTGTCTCCATTGATCTCTTGAAGCGCCGCAGTCAGGAAAGAAAGCTAATAGTCTTGCATTTGCTTTAGGAATTGAACGATAAAAACACAAGTGATTTTCATTAGGACTAATTAACAGGAAATAATTACAGCAAAAGAACTGGAGATGCAAGGTTTCGTGTTTTTGCTAAAATTTAGTCTTACATCTTGATTTGAATTTCCCGAGCTTACCTCATTCGATTTCATGATTAGTTTCTACATCAATGCTTTCTTGACTGGCAGACTGATAAATTTACCTCCATCCACTCACATCGCAAATAAACAAGCTAAACATCACCACTTTGACAAACACCCTTAATTTTCTGCCATTGTTTAGCAAAACTATACGCTTTTAAAGAACTCGTAAGTGGTATATTTTGCCGCTATTATTTGGCTCTATCAATTTATTAGCACCGTGTTTACTGCTTGGGACAAAAATAGCATTGGATGTTAATTGTCATTTCAGTCATTTTGAGTTTTTAGTTAGCGGCGCACAATGACAGGAAAATGAACTTCCACTAAGAAAATTGGCGAAAAATTAAGGATGTACTGAGTCAGTGGCTATTATCATAATTTTACCATTTTTTATCCTTACGATAAAAAGAAGTTCAAGTTTCTAAAACTACCAGGCAGTAACCCAAGATAATTAACAAATGAGGCAAGCTTAAGAGAATTAATCTTTCATGTGCGTGTAAATAAGACGATTGTAATCGTTTCAGTCCCGCCATCTTTGATCATTGGAGAGTCAGACGCGGTACGCGCAGAGACCAAGAAGCTGGCACGTTTCCTGAACAAACCTATTACAAATGTTTAGGTAAAGCCGTCAATTATAGATTCTTCATGAGCTCACAACATGGACGAGTCCTTTGACGATGATTTCAGTGCGTCCCTTCCCAGCACCTTGTCCAAAGTTGTGCAAACCACAGTACTGTGCCCTGCATTTGCCATAAACCTGTTTGGAAACATTTGCGTCTGCCTGGCTGTTGCTCGTGTACGCTCTCTTAAACAAAGACCTAACACACCTTTCCTTGCCAGCCTAGCATTGACGGACTTGTCTTTTTCGTCCTTTCTTTTGTTCCGTTTAATCTGGTTGTACGATTTTGAGGCAGCGTCCAAAGTGTGTGAATTCTTCGCGATGGTCATTTGCACGCACTCACTAGTTACTGTCATCCACATCTGCCTTCTTAGTTATGACCGTTACGTGGCCATAGTAAATCCTCTAAGGTACAGAAGCATAATGACTACAAAACACGTCAAAAGGGTCTTGACTGCCGCCTGGTTTGCTCTGCTGGTGGGTAAAATAATCCTTCCCTTCAGCTATCGCAGTAATAGTAGTACCCATTTCAGAAGAAGTATGATTGGTTGCTTGGACTTTGCAGCTGAAAACAAACCCTCATTGATCCATATAACCAACATTGCCTTCAATATCACCTTCTTAATGGCACTTCCTTTAGCTGTGACAGTATTTGTCTACATTCGCATTGCCAAAATTTCGTGGACGCTCAGCAACCAGCTTGAACCAGGAGAATACCTGAACCCTGAAAAGGCCGAATTGAGGAGAAAGAGGAGAAAGGAAATGAAATGGATGAAAACCATAGGTAAGAAAAATTTAACCGCCAACCGTCAAAAAAGGTTAGTTTTACCGTCAGCAGTCTAAAATGCAGATTGCTAGTTTCAAGGAATTTCAATCTTGCTTTTTTGGTATTTCAGCTGATCGTCGTGGACTTCTGGGTCCTGAAGAATCCAGCTCTGAACTGGAAAACCAGTTCCCATGTTCTCAGAAACACTCCTTCTAGACATTACAAGACCTTAGAACTTGCTTATATCTGAAATTATTTCGAAATTTTACAAGTGAAAGGCTAAGACAACAAACACAACACTTAATATAGATTTATACAGAAGTTAATATTTACTGAAACTCCTGAACTAAATTTCAACTTAATAACCGTCAACCGTCAAAAGCTTTAAGATTTAAACGTCAAACGTCAAAATCGGAGAAAATAAACCGTCAACCGTCAAAACTACCAACCCATTGAGACCCTCATGTAAAGACAGTCTTTGATTGTGGACTCCGCGTTGTGGATTCCGGATTCCAGGTACCGCATTTCGGATCCTTATCAAGGAAAATTGGATTGTGGATTTCAATAATTATCGGGATTACAGATTCCTAGAGGCCGATTCCAGATCCCGAAGCCCAGGATTCTGGACTTCAAAAGCAAAATTAAAATCTCCCGGATTCCGGAGTCCGCATAACCTCACACGCGGATCAGCCAAGAGTTCCAAATAACAAAATTCAAGAAGTTCGGTTCGTCGGAAGACTCCACCCATCATCAGACAATATGGAAATTCCAGTTGTTTTGAATTTGTTGTAAAAAGCTGTAATGTATTATATTTACTGTACTTGCTCTATTATCCCACAACAACCGCTTCTTTATAGTAGAGACTTTAAGATTCAAGAACGAGGACGACTACGAGAAGTTTTTTCGCGTATTCTCAAAAAGTAGACTCACCAGAAAGCGACTTTCTACTATTTTTAACCAGAATCGTTTAAACGGTTATTTCTGTAATTGAAGCCAGGCGGGTGTGCCCTCTCCTTAAAACAGAATGATAGAACTTTACAAAGGTTTCCCTAAACCCGTAGTAGAATGACGACGACTATCGATTGGTCATTGGTGCGTTCGTCCTTTGCCATTTCACACAACTCATATACGTGGTTCTGTCGACCAAACTGGGGACCAGTCAAATACCAGAGGAACTCCGCACGTCGATGATTCTGTTAACAGCGATACACAGCATTCTCAATCCGATCATTTACGTATTCAGATCAAACGAGTTCAAGCGCGCATTCAAGATGTTCTTCACCACATCTGCTGCTTTAGCACAGTTTGCAAATACAAATAACGCTACTGCAAGGTCTTGTATGTCGCCTCTGGAATTATCAGCACGTGACCCACGAAATAATCGCCTGCCTTCGTTCCTTGTGCCGAGCCTAGCTGAGAATGTGACAGTTATTGCACAGGATAAACAAGATCCGATGGTCTCGTTCCTACATCTGCAGGAAGCAGAGCATCAGGAACAACTTGTTCAAGACTCGAAGACTGTTTCCCACAAGTATCAAGTAGTGTCAACATGTGATCAGTCAAGAGGTATGCATACAGATGTGACGACTCGTAGAGAAACTGAATCAGAAAAACTGGATTGAGTGTACAGTCGAACCCTGGGGTCGAGCCTCCATGTGTGACCACCTCTCGTAAGCGGCCACCTCCCAAACCCTTATAATTTGAACCTACAGTAAACGTCCACCTTCCGTAAGCGACCACTATCTCTTCGCATTTTAGGTGATTGCTTACGGCCGGGAGGTTTAACTGAATCATTGTATCGAGCAAGATGGAGTTTGCCAGCAATTTCCATATGGAGGCCGCACGCGCAAGATTGATCTGTAAACAAGCAAAGAGAGAAATGATAACCACTTAGAACATGACCAAAATAACTCATAATTCTCAACATCGTTTGTTTAATGTGTTATTATCACCCTTTTACACGAAGCCGTGCAAATTTTGTTACAAAAACGTGCACACTTTGCCGTTCAAAAACTTAGTGCACGGTTCCCCCGGGTCCTGTGTAAACGAAAGGCGGATGGGTGCAAGTTTTTGTCTGTTCAAAATGTGTCCGGATCCCATTTAGGGGGGGGGGATGGGTCGAGTGTGGAAGCATGATAACTTTCGGCGTCTAAATAAAGGTTTATTTTCACGCCGGCGATGGAAGTTTAAAACACGGCACTAAGTTCCTCATCGAATTTTACTAATACAGCAAAATAAGAAAGCGTAATAGTGTAGCTCTAGTCTTGCAAGAGCGACTGAGCCCTTAATTTTGAGGCTAAAAACGAGGACTTCGACTTCATTCGCACTTACATAAAGAAAAAAGCAAATTCTCGCTCTAAAGTCAAAAGTACGGGTTTATAAAAATGGTTCTCCCGACTTCATTAAAAAAAGAATTCTTGAACACTGATTTAAAGAAAACTCGCGCGTGTTTCAAGGTGCTTTTGAATTTATTAAAAGTAAAAACCTGAAAAACATTCACAGCAGCGCTTAAATTTTGATAGAACTGGCCATGGTACATTTCACTTTCTCGTGACTGGTTAAGCCGCTTTGGGCTGTTATTAACTTATAGATCTTTGGGCGCTTTCCATTTAGATAAAAAATCCGGAATATTAAATTTCGGTGGGGAAAAAAAGGGATTTTCCGATGGTAAAAAGTTGTTCCATTTGATCGTAAACCCCGCTACGGCGCCGAGCCTGTTACCCGACGGGACACCAAGATGGCTGCCGAGTTCGTAACAGTTGGAACCGATATAAAGTACGAGAAAAGTGTAAATGGAACACGAAATTCTGTTCAAAACGTTCCAACCGGGAAAACGGGTGTACCTTTTTAGAATTTCCACTTTTCCCGAGAATTTTCCAGTGGACGACCGACGAAACATGTTCCATTTACTGCCGAACCAGGAGCCGAACCGAAATTTCCGGAAATTTTGACTAAATGGAAAGCGCACTTTAACTCCTCGGGAACTCGTGTTGGTCTCTGCGTTAATAATTATCTTGATTAAAATGGGTGTAATTCTGTAAGTGAGTGCAGAGCTCTTTTTTTCTTTATAGTGGACAATTTTTCAAATAAGGAAAAAGAACAGATGCAGATGAAGCTTCCGAAACTCTCATTTTGTGTAGATATGATTGAGGGAAAAGGAAAAGTCAGGAGAGACACTTGGCTACATGATGCCGAGAGATAAATCCTTTTGGATTGTAGTTTGTTTTCGTACGTTTTACTTTCCTAGTTCATCTGACGAAATTTGAATAAATCAGTTCTGAAGACTATTAAATATCACGTGATAAAAAAAACACACACACAAGGTAAAAAGGTCTATTGTCGTTTGCCGTTTGCCGAATATTTGATTCTAAACACGTGCTACACGAAATAGGAAACACGAATCACGTCCTACACGAACCCAGTTGGATGAGGCCAGAATTTCTATATTGTTGTCAAAAATATGCATGAAAAGTCTATTTTATGTCAAAGTCGAACGCGTATTTGAACGTCTCAAAATCTCTTGTAACACTTTGTAGCGTTATTAGAAATTTCAAGGCGCTAATGCTTGGACGAAAAAAAAACGAATAAAACTTTTAGCCCCTGGTGTTAAAACAAGCCGCCTGTCTTTGGGTAGAATTCATTATTAGGCTGCCTTACTGAGCTTCGCTACAATAGTCTTTTCTGGGGAAAACGGAAGGCGCTGTTGTACATTTATACAATATTCATTTGTTTTCTCAGTGGGAAACACGTTCTACGAGGATAGGTGTCCATAAGATAGCTAAAATAGCTCTCGGATAAAATTTTTTCGCAACATGGATTTTAGGCAATAGCGAATTTAAACATTTTAAAAAGCACCTCGATTTGTTATACATCAAGTTTAGCTGAGGCGAAGCCGTCTACTATTAACTAGTTCGCAAGAATAGTTCTTAAGCACAATATGTGGCCGGCTTTAAACAATGAATCTACCACCAAAATATTTTAGACAGGGAGGGAAGGTTCTTCACAACGCTTTCTGTAGTTGTTGCGCGGCTCACGTTGTTCACGCCGAAAAACACGTGTTAGTAACACGAATCACAAGGTAAGGGCTTAAAAGAATAGAGTGTTACGCAAATGATAAATGCCAAATTAATGTTAATTCAGTTCTAACAGCGCCCTTTTAACGTTACCGACCCCGCAACACGAGTTTAAAATGTCAATTAGTCAGCATTTGACCGAAAAACGAATCTGATTGTTGATCAGGCATCGTCTATATTGGGGTAAAAATGACGTGGTAGTGAGCGATTTAAAGGACACCCCTGCCAGTTCTTCAAAAGCTGGATAGCGCTAAAAATCACTATCGCCAGTGCATGATAAGCATTAGGGAAACCAATTGTACTCTCCAGTGGAAAGAGATTTATTCGGCGGATAGCGCGGTTATACTCCTTTCGGCTGTTGTATAAAAAACAAAATCTAATACAGCTTAATCCGATGACTGAGTGCAAGGACATATAATAGCAATTAGTTTGTCTGTTGTGGTTAATAATCAGTGATCATCCCGAACAATGGATAACGAAAAAATGGTTCAGAAAAAATGTTCTTTCTTATCTCAATTCTTTACTAATAACATCTAAGCTGAAAGATGTTTGTTGAACTTCATTTGATTTATTTGCGTACAGATGAGACTACCGTAATGTCAGTATGCCTTAAGAAAAAAAGCCATGTCCGACTTATTTAACTCTCTAGCCGGGACGTTTTGGCCCGTATCAAAGATTAATTTAGTAACGGCGATCTTGTCCCTCACATCTATTTCAATTTTTCTAAATAGTTTAGTTATCTTTCTGGTCATTTTGAGCTCCCGGAAACTTAACCGACGACCAAACAGTCTCCTTCTACTTGGCCTAACTTTGTCCGACGTGATGTTTTTGCCGTATGTCTTGTTTAACCTGGCGATTTTGCACCGCGACAAAGTGGCTGGCCAAGTTTGCGATATCTTCAACATGGTCATTTCAAGTCAAACTTGTATCGGCTTTGTTCATTTGTGTCTTCTCGGTTGTGATCGATATACTGCTGTAATCTATCCATTAAGGTAGGAGAAATTTTTTAAAGTAACAATATTATATATGTTGCAGTTCAAAGTGAAATTCAGGTATAAATGGTTTCAGCCTAGGTTGATGGCCTCAATTTACTTTGTCTCCTATCTCTATATATTCATGAATGATGAATAATTAGGATTAGGAAACAACAACAACAAAAAAATTAAAAAGAGATAAACTGAATTTCATTTTGACCTACAACATCGATATAATGTCAGTTGTGATTCTTGAATTTTCTCATGCAAGCCATAAAAAGTTTAGGGTAAAGAATAAGCTAAGAGTCTGTGGATTTCGCGCTCTGAACAAATTTAGCCGATACTTGACAACTTGCTTTCTGTGAACTCCAGTTTACTGACATAGGTTTCTGACGACGATAATCGAATCGGAAAATGAGCTATACAAATAAATGTTCTATAAATCGAATAATAACCCGTGTATAAGTACAAATACAAGAAAGGTACATCAAAGTAATAAACTGAAGAAATAAACTAACAAAATCAAAATTACACACGTTCACTCGTGTTGGAGTGTTTTAATACTAGGTAACGGCCTAAAGAGAAAGTTCGGTGTAAGGGCTTAGAAAATCACTGAAGGCCGTTGAAATCTGCCTGGAATATTAAAGCCGGCATCAGCATGAAAAACAACTTTGGTCGCTTCTGGATTTATATATGTTTTGATTGACTAATAAAGACCGCGCTTTAAAACATGGTTAATTTTGGTTTTTAACTACTCTGGCCAATCAGCAGCACGCGTAACAATCAAATGAACCAATAAGATCTCGACGCAAAAGGCTGGAAAACGCACGCGGGTAGATCCAGTGTGATTGGTTAAGTTGCCTTACTTCTGATTGGTGAGAAAGACGAACGAGATTCAGTTGCCTAGTCCCTAGGCCTCATTATTGCGCGCGGCCGATGCGTTTCGGGTCACGTGGTCCGAGAGAGTGTCCAGGCCGTTCGTCTCGGATGGGATACGTTACCGAAATGCATTGAACGAGAAGGCCTGGGAAGACCCCGCACAGGAACTAGGCAAGAGATTCAGTAGATACAGCGGCACAAATTTGAAACAATCACGAAATTATTTCAACAGTCAACTTTAGGGGTTGTTTACATGGAGGGGGGAAGATCCTAAAGGACGGGATCATCCTAGTGCCATATGTTTTCTGTATTCAGTATGCATGCAAAGGGTTGTACTGGTCCCAAGCGCTAGGATCTGCCTAGTACTAGATTCCTCTTAGCTGAGAAGTAGGGGGATTCTAGTCCTGGGGAGATCCTAGCACCATGTAACTGTTTTCGCTAGGAAGAAGATCCTTACTTGTACTTGGGACAAACCAGACAAAAATGGCGGCGGGTCGTTCAATGAATAATCACGACAATAAAAGCCGACCATTTCGTTTGGCGTTACCACGAGCTGATAATTATGATAATTCTACTGAAAGGTAGTTATTAACGCCAATAAAGAGAGCAGAAGGGCCCAAATTCCAATTTTTGTTATTTTCGCCGCCATCTTTAATTGCTTCT